GATATGGGATATGGGATACGGGGTCTGGGGATAATGGGATGCTGGGGTTGTGGATTATGGGATTCGGGGTCTGGGGATACGGGGGTCTGGCGATATGGTCTACGGGGGTTGTGGATACGGGGTACAGGGGTTGTGGATAATGGAATACTGGCGTCGGGGATATGGGATACGGGCGTCTGGGGATAATGGGATACGGGGGTCTGGCGATATGGTCTATGGGGGTTGTGGATACGGGATACAGGGGTTGTGGATTATGGGATACGGGGTCTGGGGATAATGGGATACGGGGGTTGGGGCTATGGGATATGGGGATCGGGAATATGGTCTATGGGGATTGGGGATACGGGGTGGTCTGTGGAGCTGGGGTTTTGGGTGGGGAATGTGGGAGGGAGCAGGGGCAGAGTTACCGATCTCTGGGCCTTTGTGCTGGCTGCTCCTATTGTTGTTTTCTTGTGAAGACGGTTTCCTGGATGTGGAGGAGGTTCTGCGATGCCCCCAGTGTCGACGTTACACGGAGAAGGACATTCAGCGAGTGGTGGAGACCAACAACAAACAGCGGTTCACGCTTCGCCGCCACCCGGATACGGGAATGCTGCAGATCCGGGCCAACCAGGGGCACAGCCTGCAGGTACCTCAATACCCCCCCACCCCGCATTAAGCTACTAACAGTGTGCCACAAAATCACAAAGAAATCCCCGAGTGGCTGGAAACTGTTCCTTGTCACAGGATTGTTTATACTGGTCATTACTGGGAATCAACCGTAAAATGACTAAGACTGAAGCAGACTGGCCAGACAGATACTGCACCTAAAGACCAGGTCAGAGGCGGGGAATCCTGCAGCGAGTAACTCATCTCCTGACTCCCCAGAGCCTGTCCCATCATCGACAAAATCTGTACTTTGCCCTGTGCTGTCCCTGTCCTGGGGAGTGTTTGATGGGGTAGGGACAGTATAGAGGAAGCGTTACTCTGTATCTAACCCCGTGCTGTCCCTGTCCCTGGGAGTGTTTGATGGGGTAGGGACAGTGTAGAGGGAGCTTTACGCTGTATCTAACCTCATGCTGTCGCTGTCCTGGCAGTGTTTGATGGGGAGGAGAGCAGTGTAGAGGGAGCTTGACTATGTATCTAACCCCGTGCTGTCCCTATCCCTATCCCTGGGAGTGTTTGATGGGAGGGACAGTGTAGAGAGAGCTTTACTTTGTAGCTAACCCCGTGCTGTCCCTGTCCCTGGGAGTGTTTGATGGGAGGGACAGAGTAGAGAGAGCTTTACTCTGTAGCTAACCCCATGCTGTCCCTGTCCTGGGAGTGTTTGATGGGGAGGAGAGCAGTGTAGAGGGAGCTTTACTCTGTATCTAACCCCGTGCTGTCCCTGTCCTGGGCATGTTTGATGGGGTAGGGACAGTGTAGAAGGAGCTTTACTCTGTATCTAACCCTGTTTGATGGAGACTTGGTGTGAATTTTGAGCTCATCCTGTTTTGAAATGGTGATGGAAAGCGTGTGGTTGGTTTAATTAACTCCTGGTTTGTTCCTCTGGGTGAGGTCGAGGAGCTGGAGCTGATTCCGATCACGGAGGCTGTGGGGAATATTCCGGAACAGGCTGTCCATGGCACGTACCGGCAACACTGGGACTCCATTAAGGTGGAGGGGCTGCGCTGCATGTCCCGTAGACACATCCACCTGGCCCCTGGACTTCCTGGGCAAGGGGGAGTGGTCAGCGGTGAGTGAGGGAGGGGGATGGTGAGGGTGTGGCATTCGATTTATTG